CTTACAAGTCAGGGGAATGTTATAAACTATAAACTATAAAAATGAATGGTTAAACTGCAAAACACTCCTGAGCTGCAGCACAGCTAGACTTACAAAGTGTGCCTGCAGAGGGCAGTACCAACATATGGTCCCAGAAAGTGGAATAAGTTATTGTTGCACAAATAAAAAAATATATGACAGCAACAACAATTAAACCATGGCTTACAGGTAAAGGTGTGATTTTTTTACATGTTGTTCTACATTTGATTTTTGTTGTACTACATTTGACTGCCTGATGTAATTTCAGTAAAGATAATTGATGGAATGAACTACAATCCTTGAACTTACTGTGGCTTAATTAAACAATTGAACCTCAGAAATAACATCCTCATAAAGTTATTGTCTCGTTCACACTGTCAGAAATCTAGGTCATAAAAACTCAAAGCATTATTTGTCCTGTGATCGGTTGGTCCAGTCTGTTGCTCTTGCAAATAAAGAAAGGATTGTGTACACATATGGAGCAAATATTTAACATAAAGATACTACAAACTAAATATTTAAGAGCAACTGAAGTAACTCTATCCAACATTGAGCCAAAGCACAGTACACTGACAGGCCAAAGTACATCTTTAATCTTTAGTTAATGTTTACTTACTGAATGGACTGCCCTGAACGAAAGTTTCAGAACTAACTGGTGTCCTGCCATCAGCTAAGCATCTGACACAGACAGGACGGTCTGAAATAAAACCTAACAAACCAGTTCAACCAAAAGACTCTCTTTGTCACATCCAGACTCGATTATTGCAATTCCCTATTATCAGGCTCGAGCAGTAAGTCGTTAAAAACCCTGCAGCTTGTCCTAAATGCTGCAGCACTATCTTGACAAGAACCTGGAAAAGATTCACATTTTTCCTGTATCAGCTTCACTACACTGGCTCTCAGTTAAATCAACAATAGAATTTAAAATTCTCCTCCTCACCTATAAGGCCCTTAATAATATGGCACCATCTTACCTTAAAGAGCTCATAGTACCATATCACCCCACTAGAGCACTGCGCTCCCAGAATTCAGGTTTACTTGTTGTCCCTAAAGTCTCTAAAAGTAGAGTTGGAGCCAGAGCTTTCAGCTATCAAGCTCCTCTCCAGTGGAATCATCTCCCAGTTTGAGTTTGGGACGCAGACACCCTCTCTATGTTTAAGAGTAGGTTTAAAACCTTCCTTTATGATTAAGCATGTAGTTAGAGCTGGTTCAGGGGAATCGGATATCGTGATGGCAGGTCGTAGATTGTGATTGTGTTGGCGGATTGTGGATCATGTTGGTAGCTGATGTAGGTGTGTAAATATTTCATCACTTTCTGAACCACACATTCAATGCAGGGAATAGCACTTTACTTGTTTGTATAGTGTCGAATTGTTTCCATCCTTTTAGAATTGTGAGTTACTTTCACTTGACTAAAGATTTTCAGTACTCAACTGCGACACAGACTTATCATACAGTATGTGGCGACCACATAGGCTATGAAATGATTTATTATACACGATGAAAGGAGCAGATATGAGAGCAGATATGTCAGCATTCATTCTTTATTTAAGAAAAAAAAGTTTGGTGCAGACAAGGAGAGCTGTTGATGGGGGGGCTGTCAGATCACCCATTCCTTTACTTGCATGTAACTAATTAAGTTTAAAGCAAATCACAACACTTTAGTTGTTATCTATATTTTAACAATGATTTAGAGTAAGCATGAAGGAGGCTCCTCATCCATTCAACAGACAGGTATGGCAGCAGAACTGACGGTAAAGCTTCTTCTCACAGAGACGGTTGGACTTGACCATGTCACAGAACACCTCATCAGCTAGCAGAGTAGAGGAGAGGCAGTCAGTTTCACAAGCAATGGCTAAAAAGAATTTTACTGTCTGCTCCCTGTCAAAGTGTCACACTGTATATATTGTTAATGTCTTGGGAATTTTGCATACCTGCTACTAACAAGCATTTTCATCCTTCCTGCTCTGTGTTTGCATCCCCATACTAAAATGATGTATGTAAAATGAGTGTAAAAAGAATTTCCCCTTGTGGGATCAATAAAGGAAGTTTAAATCATGCTTCGTAGTACAGGCCTCAGCTCTCGCACACACTGGCTCAATCAATCTATCAAATTTCATTTGTACAGCCCTCAAAAATCACAATTTGTGTCATTGGGCGTATAAGGGGGGGCATCCTCTGTCCTTAACCCTCACAGCAGTAAGAAAAAACTAGAACGAAGAGCTGCCATTGACAGATCAAGTGAGAGCTTCATTTACTATAGTCATTTGAAACTCACCATTACTACATGATGCATTCACAATACAAGTCCTGCTGACCAGACTGTAACCCTCTTTACATTTGGTGCAGGTTGTTCCTGGGCCACTGCAGCTCAGACAGTTTTCCTCACACCTGGAGACAGAGTGGAATAAAACCCAATTCCATACACCTATTTTTTCTATTTCCTTTTGTAAACGGATGTTGTTCGGGGGAAAAATCATTACATTTGTTTTTCAATGAAAATACAGCTTACACCAAAATGTGTCAGTGTATTATTTAAATGTAACAATGTAAAGAGCAAACAAACCATTACTCCCTGACTGACTGATATGAGTGTTTAGCTGGCTACAGGATTATAGGAAGACATTTAAAAGGGATCTAGGGATGAATCCATGATGTTTGTGAGCTCACCTGTGACAAATCTTATGGGGGACTCCTGCTGCCTCTGCAGAGTAGTAGCCAGGAGAACAGATCTCCACACACCTCCACTCCTGCTGCAGGTAGCCCTCAGTACACTGGATACACTCCTCCTTACCTCGTCCTGCGAAATACAGATACTACAGGAAATCTACAGGTATAACATCCCATTAAGTTTCTTGTATTTTTGCGCTTCCTGTTTTATTGTGTACACTACTAATACTAATCCTTTCAACATTGCCTGTTCTTCTCTGGTATTCTGTGCACGATCTTCTGTACTGTTTTTTACGTACAGAAGTCACACAGTGACTGGAGGTGCCTCAGGAGCACACAGTGCTTTGGACAGAGGTTAAAATGTATTCAAACCTATACTTGCATCTTTTCAAATGTATCTGCTAGACCACAGATCTGGCAAACCTCAGGTTTTTGAAGCAGCATTAAGAGGTTTTATTTTGGCTGCTATGATTTTTTGTGTGTGAAGGTACTGTAGAAAGAGCACTGACCTGTACAGGTCTGACAAGAGGAATGGCATGGGCTGCACGTCATCTCTTCAAGATGGAAAAATGTTCCATTGGTGCATTCAGGAACACATGTCATACCTGCCAGACTGGAAACAAAAAATCGACACTACAACACTTTTAAAACCAAAGTTCAAATATGACTAATAGTCTGCGTCCTCACATACCTGTAACCTTCACTGCAGGCACTGCATCTATCTGCATAGCTCAGGCATTTCATACAGGTGTTATGACACTTCAGACACTGTCTCTGATCTGGTATGAACAGCATCACAAGCATCAGATGTGCAGTCGACAATAATTCTGCTGGGTTTCCTTAACATGTCATATGTAAAAAATATCCTCTGTCTCATGACCTGTATTCCAGGATCTCACAGTCCACAGGTTTAATCATTAAAATCCCTTCCAGTGATGATCCTTTAAAGTAGCATAGGAGCTTTACTTCCTCCCATGTTAAACATATGCAAACTCTGCACAGAACACAATATACTTTATTAGGCACACCTGTTCAATTGCTTGTTAACACAAATAGCTAATCAGCCAATCACATGGCAGCAACTCAATGCATTTAGTAATCTAGACGTGGTGAAGACGACTTGCTGAAGTTCAAAGCGAGCATCAGAATGGGGAAGAAAGGGGATTTAAGTGACTTTGAACGTGGCATGGTTGTTGGTGCCAGACAGGCTGGTCTGAGTATTTCAAAAACTGCTGATCCCATAATCACATTGTAATATGTATATGTATATATGACATATATGACAATGAAGGCATTCTTATTCTTATCTACTGGGATTTTCATGCATAACCATCTCTAGTGTAGCAGCCATTAGAATGGACTGCTCCTTTCCTCTTCCTCACAGCAGAGATTGCTGTGAGGAAGAGGAGGGGCTGTGGAAAAGGGGGTGTGTTAAAATCCATATGATTGAGACACACACACACACACACACACACACATACATACACACACACTCCCATTCACCCTACATTTCTGG